CTCGTCTGCACAATCCTTGTCTTGTTACCACAGGACACCATTTCTTCCCATGAAGCGATGTACTTGCGAGTTCTTCTAGTCGTCTCTCACAAACTCCTGGGGATGGAAAGGACAAGTAATATATTTTGTTCTCAATCAGCAACAAAAAGAAAACAGAAGATACAGCGTGCTAACGTTCTGATTACAAATTACAAATTTGAAACTTAATCCTGAAATTTATAAAATGTAGTTTGTCATACAGGTATGATTCACATACTTAATATGGAGAGAACATGTGGTTCAGTGTGAGGTAAGCAATGAAATTTACCTATAGTGTGTGTTGATAGTAGTACCTATTCATATTTTGGTAGTCAATTGAAAACGACTTACGTATAAGTTTTCGTCCGGCGAAGAGGCGAGCTGAGAGTTTCTTATATGTCGAAGTTTCCAACATAGTATTGATATTGTAATAATTTCGATCATTATACCGATCCCACAGATTACTAATAGTGTAATGATTACATCTATAAACAGATAATATGTGAATACAATGATATATTTAGCAATTTAATAAAGATAATTTAAGAAATAATTATTTACGTATTTATAATTCCAAGTGTTTAAGCTGTGCTAAATATACATTTATAAATTGTAATGAATCTTAGACGTACACAGTAAAAATATTGTACAAGTCTTATTTAGTCCTGTATCTAAATAAGACTTGTACAATATTTTTATATATTGTACAAGTCTTATTTAGATTATATTATTAGACTATAATAAATGAATTAACGTGCAAGTGGACAGAGGCTGAGTTGATATTACACATCACTGATGAATTCATATTTTTGTTTACTATACCGCTATTGTCCGCATTAATTTCATAACACCATTTTACAAATAAATTTTATATTTTTCTTTTTTTTTTTTTATAACACAGGGGACAGACGAGCATGCGGCTCACCTGATGGTAAGTGATTACCGCCGCCCATGAGCACCCGCAACACCAGGGGAAGTGCAAGTACGTTGTCGGCCTTTTAAAAAGGAATAAGTTCTTTTCTTGAAGGTTTCAATATCGTATCGGTTCGGAAATACCATTGCTGGAAGGTGATTCCACAATGTGGTTATGCGAAGCAAAAAGTTTCTAGAAAACCGTACTGTGGAAGACCGCCATTCATCCAGATGATCAGGATGGTATTTCAGTTTCTGGCGGGTGGTACGGTGGTGAAACTCAGCAGCTGGTATTAATCCGAACAATTCCTCAGAACACTCCCCGTGATATATGCGGTAGAAAATGCACAGAGATGCAATATCTCGCCGCAAAGCCAATGGGTCGAGTCTGTCACATGGACGTTGATTACCAATGATTCTGGCTGCTTGGTTCTGAATGCGGTCAAATGGAAGTAGCTGGTATTGTGGTGCTCCCGCCCAGAGATGAGATTCCATATGCGGCCGGATCTGCGCCTTGTATAATTGCAAGCGATGGGCCGCCGTGAAATACCGTCTCACTCTACTGGGCACACCAAGCTTTTTTGAGGCTATTTTAGCCTTGTCCTCCAAATGACCGCAAAACTGAACGTCACTGGATATATCAACGCCAAGGACCTCGAGATTTGGCTTCACATCAAGGAGAGTGTCTTGAAACTGAGGAGATACGATAAATGGAATCTTTTTAGCGGTAAACGCGCAAACTTGTGTTTTCTTGGGGTTGAATTGAACACAATTTTTCAGACCCCAAACCGAAACTTGATGGAGTGAAGTTTCGATTTCAGACACAAGTTTGTTCCGGTACTCTATAACTTTTGCCTGCGACATATTAGCATGGCCGCTGTACAAGGCATCTCCGGTACTGACATCCGCATAGCAATGAATGTTGTTGATTTGTAACATGTCATTGATATGCAGAAGGAACAGAGTCGGAGATAGCACACAGCCTTGTGGAACACCAACATTCACAGAGTGTGGGTCGGAGCAAGCACCATCGACAACGATCTTGATGCTCCGATCAGCGAGAAAGCTGGCGACCCATTTGCATAACTTCGCAGGCAACCCAAAGGATGGTAGCTTTGAAAGAAGAGCCTTGTGCCAAACCCGATCAAAGGCCTTCGCAATATCCAGACTAACAGATAGGGCCTCCCCCTTACTCTCAATAGCCTCTGCCCATCGATGTGTCAAATACGCTAGAAGTTCACCAGCCGACCGACCCTGGCGAAAGCCATACTGACGATCAGAAATCAACTGGTTCACTTCTACAACAATCAACAATCGACTCCATGATCTTTGAGAATAAGGAGGTGATGGCTATGGGCCTATAGTTAGCTGGATCTGAGCGTTCTCCCTTCTTAGGGATTGGATGAACCAAAGTTTCGGGACTACACCTGTAGAGTAGCAGTACCGGAAAAGACGCGTTAGTACCGGAGCCAACTCAGGTGCACACGTCCTGAGCACAATAGCAGGAATACCGTCGGGCCCACTCGACTTGTGGATATCTAGGGAGAAAAGAGACTTACGTACCAGCTTTTGGGTAAATTTTACCTCTGGCATAGAAGTCTCACAGCGCGAGATGACCGGCGGTGATTCCTCCCTATCGTCCAGCGTCGAGTTGGACACAAAAAGAGACCCAAGGAGATCGGCCTTCTCTTTAGCATGTTGGGCCAACGAGTTATCCTCTCTGCGCAGTGGTGGAAAAGATGGCTGACAGAAATTTCCCTGAGCAGCTTTGGCAAGAGACCAAAAAGCCCGGGATCCTGATGGAAGACTGTTCAGTCTCTTACCAATTCTGTTGATGTGCTCCGACTTTGCTGTGGCTATAACTCTTTTGAAGGACCTGGAAGCAGAGTTATACTTCCTTTTATGGGCACTGGTGTCTGGATCACTCGACTTCACAGCTGCAATCCAGGCACGGAAGCATTCCTGCTTATGGCGAGAAGCCGATCTACAGGATCCGCCATACCAGGACTGAGATCTACTACCGACAGGTACCAGGGAATTTGGAATAAACATCTCCATTCCCTGAAGTACTACATCGGTGACAGATTCAGCTATTGCATCAGGATCGTCCAGTGCGAAGCAAACTCGCCCCCATGGGTAAGATGCGAAAAAACTTCGCATCTCATCCCAATCTGCCGACTTAAAATGCCAAACACGACGTCGACTAATAGATCGCGGCAAAGAAGGACGCGTGAGAGGCACTTCGCTCCGTATCAGACAATGATCAGAGGATCCCAGTGGGGCTTCCACAGAGATCTGATATCCATCCGGATGAGAAGTCAGCAGAAGGTCCAACAGTGAAGGTATATGGTCAACAACATCAGGAATTCGCGTAGGCGAGGATACCAGTTGCGTCAAACCATATGCCAAAGCAAAGCCATGAACAGATCTCCCCGCATAGTCGGTGGTACGTGAACCGAGTCATTCAGCGTGATGGGCGTTGAAGTCACCTAGAATCACGACCTCAGCGGAGGGAATCTGTTGGAGCAAAAAATCTGTAGCCATTTGGACGTGTTCAATGAGTCGGTCAGTTTCGGTGTTACCGCTATGGGACCTGTATAAGCATGCATAGATGCGGGGGTGGTCATCGCAATCTACACGCAACCATAAAATGGACAGGTCAGTACCTTCAAGTGTACCAAGACGGCGATAACAAATATCCTCTCTGACATAAGCGCACACACCGGCCCGTGGAATAAAATAGTGTTCCAATTTATATCCAGGGTAGGTCAGGTACGAAATTTCGTCGGGACAGGATATTTGCGTCTCCGTAAGGAAGAGCAATGCCGGCCTCGCCGTCTCTAGGTGGTGGTGAACGGCGTTGAGATTGGAATGAATTCCCCTGATGTTGCAAAAACTGACTATGAGCAAGGGAAACGCCGATGGAGATTTGCTCGGTTTCCTTTTGGCCAAATTGAGCAGAGTATTGCCCACCCCAGCCTGAGTGTGATATCTCAGGGGTGGATTCTCCAGTAACATGGTTACTGGTATCACCCTGGGGTAAAAATCTTGTAATCCGCTGCCATGGTATGTAAGAAAGGGGTGGGTAGGGCAAGGAAGTAGGAAAGGGAGAGGGGGAGGGGGAGGGCCGTCCGGAATCTACAGCTCACCATGCGAAACGCGATACCGCTTAACGCCGGTTTTCTGCCGAGGTGTGGTATTTCCCGGTTCGAGCGGCCCAATCGAGCTGAACAACCACGTGTGGTCGTACGGCTTGCTCTACCACTTACAAAGCTTTAGATTATCAATTATTATTTAACAACAAAATGATTACTTTAATAAAACCATACAATACGTACTTTCTTATATGTAAAGATTTTAAAAATACACAAATTAAGAATTATTTGAGAAATATAATGTTAATGCGTTATCTAAGGAATCAGACTGTGCATAACGCACCTTTTTATATGATAATTATATTTTTTTATATATATATATTTAAATATTTTATGTTTCGTTCGATTTTTATTGTCAATTTGAAATATATGTCTTTTACCATCAGCGACCGTAGTTTCTCTTGTAACTAAAAATATAATATAAAATATATACAGTCCTTAGAAACATTAATAATTAAAACAGACATTGCGTACAATTATTACGGAAGTTGGTATGATTACAAGAAGAAGCTGTAAGTTCTTTCCTTTTTATATATGTATTTCTCTAAATTCACTAAAACGATATGTTTATATTAGAATAGGTGTAAGCCAATCACAACTGAACAGGGAGGATAATAGGAACGTTGACGTATCTTTCGTGGTACCCTTCATGTTTATTGTAAACAGACAATAATAGTATACAGTTGTGGACAAAATATAATTTATTACAAGGGCAACCCGACTGGCTTCCCACAACCAAATTTTTTTTATGAAATTGGAATTGCAGACAATCTGACGGCCTATACACATGAACAGCACCGCGGATATCACTATATTATTCGTTGCCATTGTTGAGAATGTTATGCATCCATATCCTATAATTTTACCACCTTATCTCCACCTTTCAACCGAAACACAGCTTTAAAGCGAGGAGATTGTCGGCTGAAATATTGAGACTTAGGTAACCATGTAATCGACTCATTATAGTCTACCTCTGGTGAATTGATAAATAACCAGTCACGGCTGCAAGTAGATATAAAATAAAATAACTGTCATCGTAATTACTAAATTAATTCAATTAATATTCCAGCACCCAATGACGCCAACCACATTGAGTAAGTACCTACCTACTAACTGTAGGTAAGGAGCAGCTTTCATTGCGACAATTGAGCTTTCACGTAGAAATAAAATAAAAGAAGCTACGTACCATTGCTTTCATTGTACTCGTCCATCGTTTTACTGCCATTCAAATGTAACATATAACTTTCTAATATTTCACGAGAACATGTTTTAGTACTAAATGTATCATTATGTGTACAATTAAATTTGATACAATATATTATCGAGTTGTCGTCATCATCGATTAAAGTCATGTTAATCATAGTGTAATTGAATATTCGTAATATTTGTGTTATTTTGTTGAATTCTGAAAGATAAATAATATTATAAAACGTGGCTTGTTTATTATTTTATATATATGTACAGCACTTCGTACATCATATTACTATGTTGCGCCCTTGATATGCGTTATTCCAGATAATTAAAATGACATGGCTCTTATTCCTGTAATTTCACTTATACTGCGTTATATCACTTTTCAGCGAAGCACTGCAATGCTTACAAAGCAAGCTGCTTGGCTGCTGAAATATGCGAGACTTAGGTATCCGCACATGCGAGACTTAGGTTTACGTCAGTAATTGGACTTGATTGAAATGAGAAAAAATGGCGGTAGCGCGGAATGTGCTCTTCGCGGTGGTCGATTACGTGAGGTCTTTCGGATGGGCGGCTCGGGGAGGTTTTTGCGCTAGGAGAGTGCGTGTTCGATGTGCGATGTGTCGGGGTTTTTTATATGGCGAGTCCTTCTGTCCGAGAGACTGTTTGGCGTATGCCATGGTAGTGGGGCGTGTTCCGCGCTCTCTTCAGAAACTATTATGTACCTACTATAATTCAAGAACATTTTTTTCACCGTTAAGGTATATACAGAACAAAAAAAAAATGGATTGGCAGGTAAGGTCAGTATTACATCATGTTTTTAGTATTAGTATTATCCCCATTAGGATTTGCCTCATACTTTTACTACCGGCGGCCTTCGTTCATGGGAATGAATCGTACCTAATATAAAGGTAAACAATAATCTGTTACTTACTGTTTACTTTAATTAAATAGTTACCGTTACAATTATATGTAACATTACCGGGGTCGTAATTTATAATATCCGGTTCTTTCAATTTATTATCTGTAAATATAAAGAGTAGTTAGAATTTTGTTCCTGAAATGATCGTGATGTTTGTTTACTATAACATACTATAATAGTTTACTACTTTATGCGTTAGACCTGTTTTTTATATAATTCCAATGATATCCATAATCCATAATCTTAATATATAATAATTCAGTGTCACGTCCTTTATCCGCGATGGAACCATACTCGTAAACTACTAAACCGATTTTGATAAAATTGTATATGTCTAAGAATAGTAATAATAATAAACTTTATTCATAAATGCACGGTACAACTAAATATAGTTAGCCCTGGCTTTCGATTTAGGTGAAACCTGTGTCACGAAAGCCAGTTCCGTCCAAACATTCTGTAAACATTTTTTGGTACATCTGCAGTTGTGTACATGAAGGAATAAAAAAAAAAAAAAGTTAAATACTTTTGAATACAAAAAAAAAATGTATAAAAGAGACGCTATTCTTTTTGACATACTAGATTGTACTGAACTTTTATTTAACACAGTGTAGTGAGAAAAAAAAATCAAAGTAATAAGTACTTATACAAGAAAAATGAGGAAAACAAAAAAAGAATAAAAATTATAGTGTCCATGTGTTTGATTAGGAGTATGGGTACATACCCATACTAAGTGTAAGGTAACTAAGGGTAAGTGTGTGTGTATATGTATGTGTGTGTGTTATTTATATAGTTTATATAGTTATTCTTTAACTATATACATATGTATGCATTTATCTCAGTTAAATTTTTAATGCATTTTCTAGTCATTTTATAGTATATTTATTTTTATACCCCGAAGTGATAAGAGTGGCCCACCCAAAAAAGAAATCTTTGTTTCTTGACATAATTGACTATTCTATTTTTATTATGATTCGGTACTAGTAAATAATTACAACCCTAAATTTTCACCCTACCATCAATCCACGTTTGCCGTGTCATTTACCTCTGTACCTTTACACTGCTAAATTATTAAACCAATTTCAATGAATTAAAATCAAATTTGTGCTGTAGAAGAGGCAATTAAAGTGTGTATGAAAACTAAAAGCAAGGTGCTTTACGGTCGATTAGCTAAGACAAGAGTTATCCATGGAGACGAATGATGAATAGAGTGTAGCTCTGTAAAACATGAATGGAACAATATAATTCAGAGTGGAGTCCCTACCTACATGCCCATAATTGAATCACGACGCGAAACATCAATGGCGGGGAATATCTTCACAGTCGAAGTCTAGTTAATGTTATAAAATCCTATGAATTTACTTAATTTTTTTTAAATACAACTTTAAATATCGACATTAATTAACGGTTAATTTTAATTTCCATTACAATTTTAATGACTAGTCCTGAACGGTGACAGTTCAGTTGACAGTGCTAGTCAAATGTTTCCTTAACTGTTTCTGATATTTTACAAGCGAACTCCATTCATCCGTATCGTTTTTAATACATACCTTCGGTTGTCGGATCTATGACGATTTCATTTTTGTTTGTCGAGTCATTATGTTCCTTTGTAATGTACACACAACTCATAGTCGTATCGGCATCAAAAGGGTACACCTTCATTGTAATTAAAATATTCTCCACATTCTTATATGCTTCAATTTTAAAGAAATCTGAAACATTTGTAGGCTGTAAGTACTTACTCTAATGTTTTCAATGAAAATGGCAAGTAAGCATATTTTTTCAAATATTTATTTACAGAATATCTGTAGATGCATATATCGAATATTACCTAAATATGAATTAAAAATTTAGTTATTACAATAGCTATTTATTTAGCTTCTGAAGATTAAAAAAATGCTGAAACATAATCTCTTATAGAGACATATAGAGCTGTATCAATTAGGTAGAACCGATGACACTTTGTGATATCCAGCTTATGTAAGACGATCTCACACGCCGCGATCAACTTGATGAATGAGGATGGTTCAGAGGGTTCTTTGGCTTATATTAGCAAAATTTGGATTTCATGAAATTCAGCTAGGTTGCAACCGCCGTTCGCATCCAATCGAGAGACAATACTTCTGACCAGTTATGTTATGGATATGAAATTTTGGATACGAATAGGTTTCGGATATAGGAAAGATTATTATACCGGATACGGATACTGGTGCGGATATGAAATTATTTCGGATTATCCGTTAGTTTCGGATAATTTCGGTTACGGATATTAATTTCTTAAGGAATTTCAAAAGTAAAATACAAATAGCTAATAAAATGGTTACATGACGGGTTTCTATTAGGCTCCGCCCCTATCCGATATTATCCGAAACTTTTATTTCGGATTCGGGTTCGGTTACGAATATTTTTTTATATCGGATATCCGATAGTTTCGGTTACGGTTACGCTTCCTAACTAATCACTGCTTCTGACCACGAAAGTTGTCACGTGATCAGCCGATTGCTGTTACGATTGGCCAGTCAAAAAGCTGGTTAGTGATTGGACATTTCAATTCATTTAGACTGCGTGTGCGAATCGAATAAATAAATTCATAAAAATGATGACGAAACAATAGCAGTCCGGCGTAATTCGCGAGTGGGTTGTGTATAAGTAGGGGGTTCGCGCTGCGCTTTGAGGCAGTATAGACGTGTTTCTTTACTAAATAAATTCATTTTACGCATATTTTTAATTTTTTACAATATATTTTGTATATATGCCTTACAAAGCATTTTTTCAAACTGCGAAATTGTTTAACAGTGTGCTAGTGTCTTGCAAAAGAAAGTAAAATCAAGAAAACCGTTAAAGTATAACGAGTTACAAATTCCAATGCTGTGCAATTACAAAGCAGTGAGTCACCGATCTGTGTTGTCTCTAAATAGCATTGCAAGTTTATATGCAAGTCATTAATAATTATTTATGAATAGTGGATAACTTGTATTACACTTGAAGAGACAATTCGACTATTGGGGCATTGTTAGGATTCCAGCCGAATTATTTTGATTTTGCAATTTGCTTTGAACACGCATATCTATCGGATGTCTCAGTGAATAATAGTTAGTAATATTATAATTGCCACCAAGAAGTACTTATGTTGTAGCGCCTGTGATAAAAAATAATCTAATTTGCAGCAGCGATTCTATAACAATATGATGACTTCAGAACACAACACAGGGCTCATTGGAAGTGTGCGTGGAAGCAATCAGCCGAAACTTGATAATTATAATACCACGGTGCGTGCTTGTTTCTGTGTGTGTTACAATACAACCTACAACACATGGGACGTGTAGTGGTGTTTCCTCTTCGGCATGGCAAAATCTGCAGATTTTTGTTGTGCATAGACCGAGATTTGCCAATTAGAGAAATAAAAAAATTCGGTGTTAATCATTATAGAAAGACAATACCTGTGGAAATAGAGATCACAAATTAGCAAGCCCGATAACACATAATTTTTACATTGGGTGTTTAAAATATTATATTTGATCTTTTGGTTTAAAGTTAACACAAAACCTATGATTCAGCATTTTTTTCAAAAGTATCGTTTATGGTGTTTAATTTGAGGCTTATTACGTATTCCGTCGTTTGATAATTGCAACCAATATTTAGTTAATGATGTGTTGTTGCTTCGCCCTACAAAACTGCAATTTGTCTCCAAGTAGTCACCCACGGCTTTGGTCATCGTAGATTCCTGAGGTACTGTAACTAAAGGTTTAAACACTCAGTAAAGTTGATGAAGTTCAAAACTATCAAAGTATTTGGCATGACGGTTTTGTTATTACAGAATCCATTGAAAAAGCTAATATATGCAATGAGCTTTTTTACAACTTTTTTCTGAGAAAAGGCCAATTCTATTTATTCTTTCCATCCTAACTAAGGTATGATATATTGTTGTGGGGTAATTCCACTTTTGAAAACAATTAATTGCAGAAAAAAAGCTGTACCTAAACGTGTAATCTGTGGTATACAGCTCAGAGTGTCTTGTAGGTAGTATTACCGGAGCAATAAGATTCTCATAGTGATTTCTCAGTATATAAAGGAGATCAATGAATTCTTTAAAAAAAAACACATTTGTTTCAAAAGTTTACAGCATTCTCCAGATTTGATAGTCGATACTAAATTAATAACTAATTTAGTTAACATGTAAAACTTTTCTACATCAACAAAATTGCTATTTAATGACTATAATACCTAATACACTATGCATGCTAAAACAACGGCAAACTGTGTGGACTATTTCGTTAATACTAACATACTTTTATAACTTTTACCATATTTCGATCCAGTAAGTATATTTCGACCTTGGTGGTCTAGCAGTTTAGGTCACCGCCTTACTTCCGATGGTAGCGGGTTCGATTTCTCGCACGATACAATAGGTATGTGTAATATATGTATAATCACTTATTATCAAAGTAAAAAGAAGTACAAAGGAGTTTAATAATATACATAATGCTCTTGAGGATGTTCTTAACTGGTTTACATCAAACAATCTAGCGCTTAATTCAATGAAAACAAAATGTGTTAAATTCTCTTTACCAAATATAAAACAAGTAATGACAACTGTTAGTTTTAATTACCACGTTTTGGCCTTTCATGATGAGACTTATTTTCTTGGTATTGTAATAGATAGCAAATTGCAGTGGGGACCACATATATTTCCGCTGGCTAAAAGACTTAGCTCGGCTGCTTTTGCTATCAGAAAAATTAGACAGTTAATTGATACTGTAACAGCGAAGCTAGTGTATTTTAGTTACTTCCATAGTATAATGTCGTATGGTATTATATTATGGGGAAGGCGGCTGATGTAGATTAAATTTTTATATCACAAAAAAAAGCAAATCGTTAATATATAATTTACCGTGTCGCGATCTCTTAGAGAACGCTTGAAAGAAACAGGTGTCCTTACTGTTCCCTCTCAATATATATATGAAAATATTATGTATGTACATAAATACTTAAATTTATTTACAAAGAATAGTCATTTACTTTAATACAAGGAATAAAAATAACTTAAATATATCTAGTTTTCGTCTCTAAAAAGTAAGTTAGTACGTCTTTCATGGGTAAATTGCCAGATGATTTAAATGAAGGGAAATTTAAGATACATGTAAAAAATACACTTTGCGCTAAAGCTATTGTTTATTACAAAATAAACGACTACTTGAATGACTGCAATGAGTGGACTTAATTACAATTTTAACTTTTGTTATGAGGCATATAACGTTCCCATGAATATAATTATCAATGTATTAAACATCAGATAAAGTTATTATAAATTGATTAATGACATGTTATAATTTAAATAATGTAAATCAAATATTGTAATGGGGAAAACTGTGATTGTTACTGCCTATGCTGTAAATACTATAAATGACGTAGTAGATAGAGTAACTTGAAACAGTCATGTTCTCTATAATGTTCCAACTTGTGGCGGCGTGGTGGGTCGGGTCATTGTGCTCCCTCTAATATGGTTGTGTGCAATGATGGCTGGCTCATCGTCATACTGGTGAACGGGTGCTGCTTGTGGGGAATGGTCTGTTTGTGTTACGAACATTCATTAGACTATTTTTTTTTGCTTTTGCAATAGCATATGCTGATGGTTACTCTATTCTCCTATTTGAATTTAAAAATGAATCTGTATATTAGTATGTGTTTATAGAAAAGTGTATGTGTTTTTGTATATGAATTAGTACAACTTGGGCGCACAAAAAATTTTACCAACATCCCGACAATGACCAAGTTCCTTCCTTATCTAATCAGCCAGATATGCTTGTACTTATTTATAGTCCGGTTCAGCATATGTGCATGTATCAGCCTATAGCAGAACAGGAAAATCCAGTCTGTGAACATCATACAGAACCTGAACCTTTCACCTCTGCACAGCCAACAGACATTGAAGAATCTAAAACTCCAGAAGTATCTGTCGAATCTGAAATCTCAATGGAACAATCTTCTGAAAGGAGATATCCTCTTAGAGACAGACATCCCCCTGATAGATATCATAATAGTATTGATAGTATTAGATCATCCACAAAAAGATGGTTAGAAGCTATGAAGGCTGAATAATCACGGAACATGGATTTTAGTTGACAGACCAACAGACAGAATGATAACTAAATGCAAATGGGTCTTCAAACTAAAAAAGGATACAAGTAGCCAAATAGTCAAATATAAGGCCAGACTAGTAGCAAAAGGATTTACTCAAGTAGCAAGAGTAGACTATGGTGAAACATTCTCACCAGTCGCTAGATTATCATCAATTCTATTATTGCTGGCATTTGCTGTGCAACACAATCTCGTTTT